TAATCATCTTTCCCCATGTGTGACATTTCCTGTAGTAAAACACTAAGACAAAAAGTCAATTTTCTGAAAGCAAAGCTGTCTGCTCTTTAATGTATATTGCTTTGAACTGTAAGATTTCTGCATGTGTGATTTTTAAGTGTTTGTGTATTTAAAAATGGTGATTATGGATAGGCAAGCTCTGTACAGTTTATTCTGTTTAGGGGATTGTGCTGATGATCAAACAGAATTTGGTCTGCTGCACATTAAGATGCAGATCATAGAAATTCATTTGCATATAGTGAACAAATAAATGCCAGGAACTGAAGTTAAGAAAGAAAGAAAATTCCCCAAAGATTCAGGAGTTAAAACATGCTGTTATGGGAAGGAAGAAAGTTGTTTTTTGGAAATCTCAGGGTTTGAAGATAGCTAAAAATATCTATGGTATGAATTATTCCTTTGTTTTAGTTTCCTCATTTAAAAAGAAAAGAAACAATACCTGTTCCAACTTAACTGTAAAACTGGCTGCTAAAATAAATTAGGAATTTTAAATGACTGTCTGAAATTAATACTAGAATTTTTTTGTTGTATAATTTATTTTCACTCTGCCATCTTGGCTCCACCCCCTTTGTTGTATAATTTAAAGTAGTAACTAGTTTTATTTCTGGAGTTAAACACATGGATTCCTGGCATCCTACCTCTTCTTTTTGGTAATTCTAGCCCTTTGATGTTTGTGATGAAGAATTAAGTGCACCCAGATTCAGATATATTGTGAAGAAAATTTCTTGTATCCGTACTCCAAGAATGTTCCTTAGATCTGTGATTTCATTGATGTGTTCCATGCCTGCCTATTCTATGGCATCCTGGCCCATGCCCTTCCGTAAGTTTGCCACGGAGAGCCCACCTGATTTGCTGGGGGCCTACCTTCTACTTTCCCAGGATGCTGAGCACATCACTGAAACACTTTGGCTGCCAGTCAGTTGTCCCTCACAACCACTCCTCCCATGTGACCAGCCCATTTTTTTTTGTTGTTGTTATTCTATACTTGTTTGTTTTCTTTGCTGCATTTAAAAAAGTTTTATTATTCCTGCCCCAACTTTTGCCTTGTAATGAATGCATATAATCCAATAAAACACACCACCATATTGCCATATCATATTCTGCATCTCTAGCCCAGTATCCCTCTGTCAGAAGGTAGGAGGAATGTTTGGTTATCAGTCTTTTAAAGTCATTGTTGTTTACTGCTTTGATCAGAGTTCTGAAATCTTTCAAAGTCCTTTTCCTTTTTATTACCATTGTTGTCATTGCATAAATTTTTCTCTTGGTTCCACCCATTCCACTTTGCATCTGTTCATAGAAATTTCCCATGTTTCCTCAGAATCTATCATTTGTCACTCCTTATAGTACAGTAATTTTCTTTTACATTCGTGTATCATATTTTATTCAGCCATTTTCTAGTTGATGGACACACCGATTTTGTTTCCTTGTCTTTGATAGCACAAAAAGTTTAGCTATGTTCTTTAACAGCACATTTATTATGTTCATAGTACTTATATCTTTATTCTTGTACATGTCAGTCCTTTCTCTGTGCCCTTAATTTCCTTAGCATATGTATCTAATAGTAGTATTGCTGTCATTTAGAATTGTTTTCCACAGTAGTTCAATCAGTTTGCGACCTACTATCACCACAGTAGTGTGCCTGTTCCCCCATATCCTCTCCAACAATTTCTGTTTTCCTCTTCTGTCATTTTTGGCAATCTGATAGATGTGAGGTCAAATCTCAAAGTTGTTTGAGTTTAAATTTTTCTAATTATTAATGATTTTGAACATTTTTATGTGGTTAACAGTTTGAATTTCTTCATTTGAGAACTCTATTCACAACCTTTGGCCGCTTATCTAGCAAGCAAGCAAGAAGTGTTTATTTAAATTTTATCAGTGTGTTTTGTTTTTATGTTATGAACATTTACAGATTACTCCTACTATATGAGAGGTCTTTTGTAACAAAGTAAAATTAATAATACAGTGACTTCAACTGAGAGTGAAAGCAACATGTCATACTGTAGTACCTTCACTATCTATTTTAAAAATTTAACAGAAATCCATTTTCTCTCCCCCAGACCTTCTACTCCATTGAAAAAAAAGAGAAAAGCAAATTTCTTGTAACAAATCTGCATACTCAAGCAAAATAAATTCCCTCAGTGGCTGTACACAGAAATACATATGCCTTATTTTGTGCCCTAAACCTTTCTCTAAGAGACAGCGTATTTCATAATTGGTACTCTGGAATCATTAATGGTCATTTGTATTGATCATAGTTCTTATAGGTTTCAAAATAGTTTGGTTTTTTTACAGTGTTGCCATTGTATACATTGTCTTCCTGATTCTGCTCATTTCATTCTTCATCAGTATATCAAAGTCTTCAAAATTGTTTATTTTTATAATATTGATATTATAGGATGAATTGTTCTTCAAACTTCACTCTCTATTAGTTTATGTAAGTCATCTATTTCATTATTTCTTACAACACAGTAGTATGCCATTGAGAAGAATGAAAAATCTGAGAGACATAGTTTCTGGGTAATTCAAAATAAATTTATTAATTAGGCTATTAGATAATAAATTGAGGCCAGTGGTTCTCTAGGAAATCAAAGACCCCATAAGGAAGCTACTTAAAGGTTTAAATACCATTGGGAAAAGGGTTGTCTGTGATAGGTGAAAAACAAGTCTGATTGGTTAACAATTAATGAGAAAATGAATATTATAATGAGAGATGGGCTTTGTCTAAAGAGGACTGTTCAGCCCTCTCCCAGCATTCTGCTTCCAGCAATCTATTCAAAGGAATCCATCTCTACCCAGTCCTACCTATGTTGGACAATGGATAAAGTAGGAATTCCACCTAGATAAGATGGTCTGGGTGGGTTAAATTCTTTGAACAAGATCCGAAATATCCTTAAGAGATGGGCTTTGAATATCCGAGCAAAAAAAGAGGATCTTTGGGTTCCTTATGTAAAATTGATTATTAATATTATAAGAAAATCATTTTTGTCACTATCACATTCATATACCACAACTCATTCAGCCACTCCTTAATTGTTGGATAACCTCTTAGTTTCTAGTTTTTTGTCACCCCAAAAGGAGATGTTACAAATATTTTTGTACATGAAAGACCTTTTCCTGCTGGGTCCAAAAGCATGTACTTTTTAGTAACTTTCTGTATATACAGTAAGTCCAAATTGCTTTCTAGAATGGTTTTGCACACTCACAGATGTGTCAGTGTGTTTGTTTTCCCAGAGCCCCTCCAACATTCATGTTCCTTTTTTTTGGTCATCTTTGCCATTCTGATATTTTTGAGGTAGAAACTTAGAATTGCATTAATTTGGCATTTCTCTTATTAGTAGTGATTTGGAGCATATTTTCATTTGGCTATAGATAACCTGGATGTCTTCCCTTAAGAACTGCCCGATCCTTAGGTCATTCATCAATTGGGAAATTACTCTTTCTCTTATAAATTTATATTAAATTTTTCTTTTAAATTTATTCTGCTTATAAATTTATAAACTATGAATTTATACAAGCATTTGTTAATGCTTACTGTGTTCTAGGCACTGTGCTAAGTACTGGGGCCACATGGTAAAACGAAAAATGGTCCTTACCCTCAAGGAGCTTACATTTTATTGGAGGAAGACAACACAAAAAGGAGCTAAAAATATGGGTGTGGGGCAAGGAAAGTACCCACATGGGAACTTGGTAATGAAGTATCATGAGTCAGAAGCATAGGTGACCTGGACCCATCTCCAAAGTAGAGACTCCTATATGGGCATGCTGGAGCTAACTTTTACTGGCTGTTGAGCTGTTGGTTATATTTTCATTCCAAGTATTTATACCTCAGAAATTGGCATGTGCTACAATTCAGAGCTTGATTTGTTGTTTTGTTGGTTGTCTAGACTTACCAAAGTGATAACGAAAATGTTAATAATTCAGATTCAACTTAAAAGTGTGTCCTGTGCACATTTTCTTTTTTCTAGAGAGCCGTTTGTTAAACTTTTACCAGCACACATCTATCCCTGAGTGATTCACCAATAGGAGGAGGTAGGAGAGGCAGAAGATGTTCAAGGGCAAGAAGGCCCCAAGTGCTGAGGGAATTACAGGGTTAAAGGGAAGCTTAGGTATGAGGGCCAAGTCCTGGGAGTCAGAATTAGCTGGGAGAGCAATCTTACCTACTGTGGAAGTATGATGGTTCTTGTTCTTATATACTTGTGCCAGTTCTTTATATACTTGGATATTAGACCTTCATTAGAGAAAATTTAATAGTTAAGATATGCTAATTTTAGAGATGTTTGGGATTGAACCTCTAATTTCACTGGTACTAGGGAACTCCTGATAAGGGAACACCACAACTACCATTGGAAATTAAGGACAGCCCTACAGCTGTTCCTTGGGACCCACAGCCACTGTGTGTCAGAGGCAGGACCTGAATTCAGCCACGTCTTCCTGTTTTGGAGGCCTTAGAGGGTTTATAGTGAATGTATTTTAAGTCTTCAGTCATGATCATATCTATAATTCTCTTGAGGTAGGTCAGTCATTGCCACCTGACCCCATCTCTGGTTTCTCTAAAGGACCATACCTTTACATTCTAGAATATTAGTTCTCTAACTTTTCTTTAAACTCCTTTAAAGAATATACACAATGTATCCCCAGCTACCTTATAACTCTTGCTGTGCAATTGTTCCAAATGTTCCACCTTGCGTTGTAGTTTTTAAAAGTGATACTCCCTTGTTCATGACCCTTCCCTCTCATCCCCCCCCCAATATTGTCATGCTTTAATATTGTAGAATTGACAGGACTTAATGTGTCTTTTCTTTTTGGGTAAAAAAAAAAGGCATCTTTTCTCTTTGTCACCTTGATTTCCAAATATATCCTTCCCAGTGAGCCATTCCTTTTAACAAAGAGCAAGGGGGAAAGGTGTGGAATGTGGGGATATGGAGTCCAGCAAAACTAACCCATTGATCTTTCTTTCTTACTAGGAATTTTGAATTGGGTGAAGCTGATAGATAACTTTGATGGAGAATATGATTATGTAACAAATGAGGGGACAGTTTTCACCTTCAAGACAAATCTTCATTCTCCTAATTATCGGCTAATCAATATCGACTTCAAGGATCCAGATGAATCCAAGTGGAAAATGCTTGTTCCTGAGCATGAAAAGGATGTTCTTGGTAAGAACACTTACTTCTCAAACAATATCCTTTATTTTTGTTGAAATCATATCGATATTTATTACTTTATCATTTACTGACTAGTCTAACAATTTACAAAGGTAAACTTTTTTTTCAACTTCTAAACAAAGATTGGGAGGAGAGTAGGAGGGTTGTAAGAGGAAGTTGGAGAGAGAGAAGAATAAATTGTAAAATTAACTGCACATGATTTTAGGCAGAGGAAAATGTGCCAAAACCCACCTTTATTTCTGAAGGTACAAATAAAAGATGAATAAATGAAAATAATAGAACTTGATAAAGTTGGCATCTTTCATCCCTGAATTTTATCAGTGTTGTCAAGAGAGGTCAGTCTACATCTATATCATATTGCTTTTGAAAACATGAAATTAAAACCAAAAAGCAGTTAATGTATTTTTGGAAAAGGAATAAATCAAATGAATTTTATTTCAGTTGTTAAAAAGATGACATGATATATAACTATAAAAGCTATAAACATATGAATTTTAAAAGATTATTGCCTTTTCTCTAATTGACTAGGTATTCATTGCCAAATTGTAATCACTAACGTATTTAAAAAACATTTTAGTTTCAGAGGACCTAAAATTACAAAATTTTGAAATCTTAGTTTAAACTTAAGCTATTTTTTACATTACTTATTGTTAAAGAACTTGAATGTATATTTATATTTTCGGTAATGAGAAAGAGGTTAAGTTATCTTAAATTTTAGATAAGGCCATTGAAAATCCTCTTTACATTAAATTTGTTTAATTTCTTGATATAACAATTGTTCTACATAAAGAATTTTTAAAAGTGCAATTAAGTGCCATTTTCTGTTTCTTCAACATTATTGTGAAAATTATGAGATTCTTTTTAAAAAATTCAGAGTGCAGAAGTTACTCATTTTGTTTTAGGTTTTTAATACAAAAAGAATTTAGATCATCTGACCACTAAACTATAAATAATAATGAATGCCTTTTTTTTCTTTAAAGCCTCACATTGTCACTTTACCTCTTTAAACTGATGAGAACAGATAGTTGTTTTTTTTTTTTGGCCAATGTTTAAGTGAACGGACTTACAGGTAATTTTAATCACTTATTACATTTTACAGGGATTAATAATTAAAGATAAATATCTATACTTTACCTTAGCCTTTATTGACCTGAGAAGGTATTTCATTTTGATTGTATCCAAGATTCTTACTTGCAAATTGCTGAGTGTTTATTTGACTAAATATTAAAAAATATAGGTTTTGTAGGGGAGAAATGCAGAGTATTTTATGCATGTTTGTAAGATTATAAACACTTACCTTGTGGTCTCCCTTAGCTTCTCTTTTAACACATGAAAGTTTTTGGCTGCAGCCCTACTTGAATGCATAAAAGAGGATTGTCATTTTCATTAGTAAACTAGTAAGAAGCATTATGCCAGATCAAAATAATTACCTTAATAACTTTTTTCCTGATGCAAGCATTTTTAAAAATGTACAATACCAAATTCTAAGTATTTTTTTTATTTAGGATTCTTTATCATCAAAGCTATAGTGAATCCATATCTGGAATTCTGAAGAAAGGTAGGAGTAGGAAAATTTGGTTGATTATAGGAGTCAGATGATTACTTTTTTAATAACTACTGAAAAGATTAAAGTTCTTCAGTTTAAAAAAAAATGAAGACTGAGGAGATTTCCTCACCAAATTAAGGAATATTAGAACTCGGGGAAAAGATAAATGTTAGACAATTATAGTAAATTAAAAAGTTATGGAACCTCTCTCACACATTTGGCATATCTAATACAAGCTAAAAATATGAATGAGTTTAAAAAATTAGTGTGTTTTTTTCCATAATTATTCAAGTAAAGTAGGGTGTTTGAGGGTATGTCTCCATTCTTTTGAGTTTGATATCAGTTCAGATAACCATGCCTTCCTATAAAATGTCCTTTGGTGACCCTGACAAAGACAAAAGTGTATGATCATTTTTCTTTTCTCATCCCCTCCCTGTAATATCATTCAGGAAATATTCTTTTGGAATAGATTGATACTTTCTCAGAGATTCCTGCAAAACTGATAGTGGCAACCAGATAACTTAGTTGGTTTAAGAATGGTGCTAATCATATCAAGATTAAATTCTAAATACTATGGAGCTCCGTTTGACTTGAAAACTGTTTTGCCCTCACTAGCTGCATGCCATATTAATGATAATAACAAAAGCATTTACATAGCACTTTGAGTTTTATAGAGAACTCTCTCTCTCCGTGTGTGTGTGTGTGTGTGTGTGTGTGTGTGTGCTTTCATTTGACCATCGCAGCAGCCCTCTGAAGGAGGTGCTGTTATTTTCCCCATTTTATTTATGAGGAAGCTGAGACCAACAGAGGTTAAGTGACTTTGCTGAGGGTCACACAGCTGGTACACATCTGAGATTGGGATTGAACTCCAGGTCCAGTGCTCTACCCAATGTTCCACCTAATTGCTAGAGTTCATAAATGAGCCTAGTGAGAATAGAGGAATAGAGGACCATCATCAAAGCAACTCAGAAGGTCAAGAGAAGCATCAGAGAGTCAGACTGGGCTAAAATTTAAAATAGTTTTAAATGGAGTAGAATTTTCTAGCCATTTCAGTTCTTAGATGTGTAACTGTTATAGAAATGAAAAGAATTTCTCTTGAAGAGATGGCAGCAGGTTTTTTTTTTAGTGTTACCAGCTGTTCTCAAGACTGCTTTTCATATAACCTAATTGTATTCCTGTCAATTTCACTTCAGATCTTTGTAGATTGTAGTACAATGTTTATTTGAATTATGTGACGTTAGCAAAAGGAAAGAACTGGCTTTAAAAAATCATTATTCAAACACACACACCACCTTTTCTCAATTCTTTCATCTATTCATAGACTACTTTTGCCCCGGTATAAACAGTCATTGCTTCATGACATTATGAGGAAAAGATACTATTTTTAAAATATTCCATCTTGCATAGAAACTACATTGTTCATTGGACTATTTCACAGTCATTCAAATTTTTACCATTAATGATTGGGGCTGAGTTTGATTTACTTAAATTTTAGTAATCTAATGGTAGATTAGAGGCTATTGAGGTATGGAGGCTATTGATATGGAGCAGCAGATGCAAGAAATATCATCGTTGATAGCATGAAAGTGAGCATATGGAAGGACAGAAAAAATAATGTTGGAAAACCTGGTTCAAGAGTAAGAAACAAGAAACCATAAGAGCTTATAGACTAAAAATCTTATACCTCTATAATATAAACAGTATCTTTAAAAAGAGAAAGTTGAAAGAGCTGTTAGATAACAGACGTTGAACAACATCATAAAATGAAATTGGCAGTATCCTAACTGAGGAAACAACAGGTTACCTATGCAGGAGGCCTTACCAAAATGATTGTCTTTATAGTTAGGCAATAGAATAGCCCTGGTAGAGCAAAGACCAAAGTAAATACCAAATTGAAAGAAAAGATAAAGATGAAGAAGATGTAGCAAGCAATTGAGGAAACTTTATATTGACCTATTTAAATACTCTCTTGATATAAAAACTGGGAAACAGATAAAAAGAACAGAGATCACATTTCCAAAGTAAATTAAGTTGCCCTAATAGGGAGACCAAAATAGTTTAGAAACTGCTTCAGCCAGATCTCCTTGCCAAAGAGAAAGATAGCAACTCGAGGCAATGCTGGTTTAGAATGTGAACTCTTTTGTAAAATTTTGTGGAGGAAGATGGTATGAAATATTGAGGATCACCTTATAATACTGAAGAAATGTGAGTCTGCTGAAAGCTAAATTCTCCCAAGCATGTAAGAATAGAACTTTGATTTCTATAGAAAAGTATTTTCTCCATAGGTAACATTTGGACTCTACCATCATAGTCTTGGATATATTTCAGTGACAATAAAGAAATCAAAATTGGAAACAAAACAAGTAGCCTGTGGTCTAAATCAAATACCTACAAAGGAGTCCTAGGTATTTTTGCCAGTTTTGAGAACATTGAGAGATGACATCTCTAGAAATCTTAAGGAGGGAAGACTACCAAATGTTAGGGAAAAATCATGGATTTTCTTGTTACAAAATACTGTCAAGTTGAGAGAAAATCAGTAGCTGTTAATCCATATATGCTTACTTTTCCATATATATTAAGAGCCTGAGACATGGAAAGAAGGCAGGAAAGCTTTCACAAACAATCTTCTATAGCTGGTCACTTTTGCAGTCACCCGTAATTGGTTGAAGGACATAGAGAATGCAAGATCCTACTGTTTACTGTTTTTTTTAAACAGTAAAATAATTTTGATTTGGTAGAACAAAATTCCACATTAAAGGCTCCCCTCCCTCAAGTTATCTTCCTTAAATGTGTCAAAAAAATACAAGGTTTCTTGAAAGAAGTAATAAAATAACTTCATTTTGTCACCCTCTAGTTATTAATGCCAAGTAAGGCAATAAACAGAGAATTTTGGGGCAGCTAGGTGGCACAATGGATAGAGCACTGGCCCTGGGGTCAGGAGGACCTGAGTTCAAATGCGGCTTCAGACACTTGACACTTACTAGCTGTGTGACTCTGGGCAAGTTACTTAAGCTCATTGCCTAGGGCCCCCCTCTGCCCCCCCAAAAAAAGAATTATGACTATCAAAAGTGTCATGGTGTCAAATGAAGGAGAATTCCCTACATATGATGAGATCTTCCAGATGCTTCTGTTGGCAGATGACATTATGATGATTGCATCAAACCTTGGATCATTACAGATCTTCTGAAATGACATCTATGCTAACTCAAAATAATATGGGCCACATTTGAAAAAACAAGCAAATGAAGAGAGCCCCTCATCCAGATTATGATATGCAGTTGTAGAGACTATCGAACCAGTCCATCAATGCATATATCTTTGATGGATTCTAGAAATGAAGAATGAATTGGCTTCATCATTGAATTAGAATAAGGTGGGCTGGACTGTACATTATTTATAATGACCCCCGAATTTCTTCTTGAAACAAAGACTCATCTTTTTTTAA